AAATATGTAGGCTTTAATTATGTTCTGATAATTATTTCTGGGAATTTGAGTCAATGTATTTGAAATCTTCCTGGAATTTTGTTTATAGATTAAACATCTCAACATGTAATGTGATTAAATAAGTTGGTCTACAAATCAATCTTAAGAAAATAACATACTTTGAATGTCTGTTAAATTATTTTGAATCATTTTTAACATATTTATATGTAAAAGGAAGTATAAAGTGAGTCCCTATTCATTCTCATGTCACTTATTTCTATTATTATCTTACTCTTTATCTGCAGATTGCAATTCTCTTTAGGTTGCTATTCAATTCCATTCTGATATGTTGAGATCAGACAAAATACAGGGTTTCTGAAAACTGCATCACTTTTTCTGTGTGAAGCAGGGCATTTCTCTTGATAGTTCGATTCATATTCTCTGTCACTGACCAGGCCAAACACAATTTTGGTAGCATCCTTCTACATTCTTACCTATAACTATTTAGGTATTCTTGGTAATAATTTCCCTATACTGTCTATAGTATTGGCTAACTAAACACCTAATTGGCCCACAACACCCACAGCTATACACACAAGCACATTTTCCCCAAAACTATTTTACTGGGAGTTAATACAGATATCATATCATTTCATAGTTCAATCACATCAAGTAGTATTGTACAATTGCTAATACAGTCAGTCTCAAAATATTGTTTTCCTTCATGAACTCCTTGGCGTCAGCTCCTTTTTACCACTCCTACCCCAAATGTCATACCCCCAGAAACCCTTATTCTCCATGCTGTCCCTATGGGTTCATCGATCCTGGATTTCCTATGCTGAAGACAGAAAACCTATAACAAAAATTCAAGAGAGAAACCCCAATATGAAAAACAGCAGCAACAACAAAAACGAACCAAATACAGATACTGTTGAAAACCACATCAGGCCTAATGTGCATCAGAGGGGGATCAACTGACAAGGTTTTAACCATTCAAGGCAGGATTATCATTTTGATTTTCTATAGCCATCTTGCCAATGCATTCTGTTTAGTAACCACTTTCCTCCCATCCCTCACAGGAGGGTGAGTTCCTATGTAGATCCCACAAATATACCTTGGGCTCCCACTGTCATCATTAGTCTTCTGCAAACTAGATTCTCACAATTTGGGCTGGATACTATTCTTTCCTTCAGCTTTGAGTTATATGATTTACCATCCTTCAGTCCCTGGTGTTTGTGTGCTTCTGCACGGTGACTTAGGGGACATCTCACTTAGATGACCTCTTGTTTGGAAACAAACCTTTAAGACCCCCATCACTACTTTATCTGATAATCGGTCACCATTTAATTTCTTCACCACACTTTGCTTTGGCATCCATATCTTCTGTGTTCCCTTCTGGGGGGTGAGTATAAGCAGGGCCATGACGTAAGAACTAATTGTTCTTAAATTGGAGGTAGGACTTAATGCAATCCCAACACCCAATACTGAATCTGTTTTTTGCTTTTGTTTTCAATCAGTCTTTGGCTTCCTTTCAAAACCTCCTTGTTAAATTAAAATAATATTCATCGACAATGTCAGTCACAGGTTTGCCTGAATAACATATATCTTAATACAGCATTGATGTAACAAGAGCATGTTTGTCCACCTACCAAGAGTTCATCAAGTTTGTTACAGCTGTCTCCTGCTTCTTCAGACACCATGGATTTTCAGACTTATATCCTCGGGTTACAAGTATATCTGAGACAGATTTCAGTTCACCTAGTAGATTTTGCTAATTGGATCTCATTGATGCAGCATCTGGAGCATGCTTTGTGCCTTGAAAACCCAGGATTTAATGTCCCTGCATTTCACAGCACCTGGCCTCTGTCCCCTGGCTTGGGCCAGAAACCAGGGTCAATGTGGCCCATTCGGTGCATACCACTTGGGACATTCCCCTCCCCCTTAAGTTCTCCAAAGCATTCACTTTTCACTTTTTCCAGTTATATTATTAATATTAAATAATTTAGAAGTATGCTATTTTTTCCTACCAAATATCCATATAATGTGACCCCACAGCTCCCTCAAGATAGAAATTGCCTGTGTTAAATCAAAAACCAATCATCAATTTTTACATGATCCCCTGAGTTGCACAGAACCCGGGCATACAAAACTGAGAGCACAGAACAAACTGAAAAGAGAAAAAAAGGCAGTGAAAGGTGCGTGCAGACTGAGAGAAAATGAACACATTTTTAAACAATTCACAGATGAGGAAGCACACAGTAAGATTTAATAAGACTTCATAAAGCTTTTGAAAGCCCTAAAACATAAGTATATAATTCAAAGTGTTCACTTTGGGGAGTCTCCCAGCGACAATGAAATGTGGAGTAAATCACCCCCTTTTCCAGTGTCAGTTCCTGGACCCCTAGAGATCATGTCAGAAAAGACAGCTTTGGAATCTTTTTTTTTTCTTGGTGATGTTATGACTTTATTCTTTTTTTAATAAATTTGTATTAAATAATTTTATTGGGGCTCATGCAACTCTTATCACAATCCATACATACATCCATTGCATTCTTAAAACACAAAATAAGATACAGCTACTCCTCACCTATTGACTACCTCATTAGGTGACATTTCACATTTACAACAACAAATGTAAATCTGAGTATTATGTGCATTAATAATATACACCTGACAGTAGCGAAACACCAAGGTGTTAGGTAAGCATAGCACTGGCTTAGACGGTTAAGCTTATGTGTTACCTTAGCTGAGCCATGAATCTCAGTGGTATAACAGTAATGGTATAAGTTGACAGTTATGTAATAGTATAGTAGTTCTCTATCTTGTGAACTGATGTGGCCATCCTCCATTTTCTTTTTTTTAATGTTTTGACATTTTTTAATCGTTTTATTAGAAGCTCATACAACTCTTATCACAATCCATACATAAATCAATTGTATAAAGCACATTTGTTCATTCATTGCCTTCATCATTCTCAAAACACTTAAGCCCCTGGCATTAGGTCCTCATTTTTCCCCTCCCTCCCTGCTCCCCCCTCCCTCATGAGCCCTTGATAATTTATAAATTATTATTTTGTGATATCTTGCCCTGTCCGACATCTCCCTTCACCCACGTTTCTGTTGTCCATCTCCCCAGGGAGGAGGTCACATATAGTTCCTTGTAATCGGTTCCCTCTTTCCAACCCACTTTCCCTCTACCTTCCCAGTATCGCCACTTACACCACTGGTCCAGCTTTGGAATCTTGCTGAGAATATCCCATTTGTTTTAGGATAAACAAAGAGACCTCAAATTTCACATATAATTTGAGAAGAGCATTATTAAGCCTTAAGCAGGAAGACATTATTTAAAGAAGGCCATTAGCAGGAATCATAATGGTGTCTAATGGTTTATAGAGAACTGGAGACTTACATAAGACATAGGAGGGCTAAGGAAACTGTCATAAAAGTATAATTGGCAGCAGATAAATACTTCACAGCTGTAGGCAAGACCACAGGACAGGAATGGGATCCCAACTGGGACTCGTGTATTATAGTAAATGAAGCCTATATTATGGTTCAGTGTAAGTGGTTACAGGGTTGGGCCAGGACCCTCTACCAATGCAGTCAAGATGTGACTTGTATCATGTGATCCTCGCACCCTGGTTTCAATTATGAGTGCACACAGATAATTCTCTAAGGACAATTCAACTTCTCCCTAGACAGATTGGGAGGGTGGCCGACATTCACTCTCTAATTCATTCTTATTGAGGGCAAAGCTATTCATGCTGGTGAAAGGTCGGAGGAATTCATTGGAGGCTGAATTCCTGCAGACACTCATATAAGGATTTTGATTTTCAACAGAAAACTATAGCCTTCCACGAACTCAAAGTTCAGAAATTTAAGTTCTAGTACACTTCTAGTTATTTGTTCAGATTATAAAAGTTTCTGGAAGGATAAATTTAGATTTTTGCTTTTTTCCATATATTTCTACAAAATAATTTGTTTGAGGTCTTTAATTATAACATTAAATCATTCTTTGCAAACCTATTAATAATATGTAGGTATATCTTTTTTTTGCATAGATAAGTACTCCAAAGCTTTCTTGAGTTCTGTATCGGATGAGTTCTTCCCTCTAAACTTGTTGTTAACTACTTTGCCAAGTGTGGACTCTTCCTGTTCTCTTTTCTTTTGGGATTTGATAATACCAGATTTTATGTTTGAGGATTGTGCTTTAGAACAAGAATATTTACAGTGATTCTGAATTTTAAAAGTATTTGCCTTGCAGTTTTCATATGATAATCCTTATATGAACAGATCATAAACAATATGTGTTATTATTATGGGAAGCACTTACCAAAAATGTTTGGAATATGAAAGTGAACTGTTTGGATTTCTAGCCTTGCTGTATATGTGATTCTATTGAAGAAAAACATAACATAATTGCATAACGATTTAGGATACTAAATTCAATGGTAGAGGCCCTACATTTTATAAGAACACAAAGAATTGTGCTGAGAAGACCTCAGACTGAAGTAATATTTGAAATGGTGTTTGAGTTTATCAGAAAAACAAGCTTGAAGAAGAACTGAGGCAGGAGTAACTTGTGCTAACGTCACAATTATATGGAAAAGCAAAGCATGTGCACCGAGTACAGAAACGCACTATAATGTGTGGGGTTAAATAAAGTAAGAGGTAGGAGTCACACATATGTTTGCAATAATAGTAGAGTAAGATTAAGAAGGTCATAGAACTTGAAAGTACTGGAGGCCACACATTCATTTTCTTCATTAGAAACAGAAAGGTAAGGCATACAATTTAATCAGGGCTGCCACGCTCATAGATTTAGCATTGTAAGTAGCAAATGACCTCTGCATCGCTTAATCTAACTTAATTCAAAGCTTGGTGTGTGCCAGATGCTGGGAATATAAATTAATAAACTATAACCCCTTTACAATCTACTGCAAAAGGCAGACAAAAACACACCTAATTGCCATATGGTTTGCTACCTTTGTACAAAAATCATATTTTAGAATGGTGAATACAAAGACTATACTTTCAGGGATCATCTCTATAGTTGGTTCCTAGAGAACCTTCTCTGATCGTGTGGAGCCCCGAAGCCCATGAGGAAGAGGTGCAGCACTCTCTCCTGAGCTTGAAGCCGGCTCTTGGTGCTGCTTTACTGCAGTAGCCATTTGCCATTGATGATCGTTCTTTGCCTTTGTGCAGGTCGAGAAGGGGCTTTCATTTAAAAAAACAAAAGAAAAGAAAAGACAAAATAGAATGATTAATGCAAACAAATCCCAATGAATTGGAGAATAAAGATGCCCCATATCTAACTTTTCAAACTTGTGTAGTATTCCAGTATTCCTGATGGAAGCCACCACTCCTCCGTTTCTTATTTCCCCTCAAGTTCCAAGGTTCTACAATCCACTTCCAGGTCTCACAAAACTCACAAACTCTTCAGGAAATAGCTCATTTGGTTGTGGATACCAGAAACTCTCAAACCCGAACTTCACAGGTCCATCTGTAGCATGCTGCTCATCCACGGTGATGCAGAAGCTGGTAAAATTAGGCCAGGAGATAGGCTGCAACTTATGTCCCAAGAACTGAAAGTCAGCAAGAGGCAAGCCAGATGCAGGATGCCCGAGCAAGAGAGCAAACCATCTATGAGTGAAAGGTTTTTCTTGCTTTGTTAAGCCAAGAAGCACCATGGGACTCATGTCCAGATACTTGCTGAGTCTTGGCCAGCTGTCTTTTTGAGTGGTAACTGATGGTGACTTGTTTACCACCAGTGCATCTGCACTAGGCTTCTGCACATGCTCAGCCAGAAAAGAATGATCACAAAGATGGCTTTGATGAAGGTGTAGTTTTTGCCTTTTTCATACCATACTCACAGTGTAACAAAAGACAATGACTTGAGTCACTCTCTAGGCAAATGGGAGATAAAAAATATCCCACCCTGATCATGTCTCATTAGCATAGCAGATAACTCCCTCTGAAATGAAATTATAAACACAAGTGTAGAAACTCCAGTTTACAATGCATCACGAAATGGAAGACTATGACTAGAAGGGACATATTAAAGACGTAACTACCTCTCAGTACATGTTTGCCAGTTTATTGATGACAAAAATAAATCGCTATATGGGTAAGAATTATGATAATAAAAGATAAGTATATAAAAAGGAAAGAAAATTAAGTAGGAAAACGGAAAAATCTGGGCATACAATTTTTAAAATGTATCACTGGTTTAAAAAAATGAGTGTGTCTGACCCACAGCTTTCCCAAACTCCACAAATGCATCAGCAATTTTCTTGAAATAAATGTTTCTATCATCTATCTATCTATCATCTATCTATCTATCTATCTATCTATCTATCTATCTATCTATCTATCTATCATCTATCTATCTTCTATCTATTTCATTAGTTTTGCTCCAATTGCAAACCCAATATAAGCCAGATGATATGTTTCAGCAGAAGAAAACGATCCTTGTGGAATCATTTCCTTAGCTTTATTCTACCCATAGAAGGGTGGAGATTAGTGTACACACCTCCTTGCTCTTTGTCTTTCTCCGTCAGGATTCTGTGTGTGCAGTCATCCCCTGCGGAGCAGCTCTATCATTCTGGGTCATGGCCGTAGGGCATGATGGATGACAGTTGGCCTGCCTCAGGTAGATATGCCATACCAACAAAACGTTGCCGTTACTGCAGCGTAATGTAGTTCATACACAAAACACACACCCTTGGGCATAAACGGAACAGTACTCATTTTCACAATATTATAAGGGGTCCAGAAAAATGTTTACTTTGTTTGCTTTAATATTCAAATATTAGTATAATCCGTTCTATATTATATTCACTTTTATATCCCCATAGCCATAAAATGTGTTTTAATATACATCTTTAAAGAGGATAGGGCTCACAACATTTCTAGAACCATGGGAATTATACTTGGACTCATGATCCATTTTGAGGGACACAAAAGTGGAGACCCAGAAGTTTGGTGTGGTCGTAACACAAACATAGGATCATAACACAGACATAGGGTCGTAACACAAATATAGGATCATAACACAGACATAGCATCATAACACAAACATAGGGTCGTAACACAAACATAGGATCATAACACAGACATAGG